GGGGCTTGTTCCTCAGCAGAGTGTACATGGACATCACCATCCCCGGAGTGCAGAAGCCACACTGGGAGCCGTGAGCCTTCGCTATCCGCTCCTACAAACACAGCATTCACAGTTTAGAGTCCCCTGAAAACTGCTCTGGAAACAGTGTTTTTGCATTAAGGTTGGGGGCTGTACATCTGAAGGTGTGTAAAGGCAACTTCCTGCTGATTATTCCAATTAGCTTAAGGATAAAGGTTCTCTTTCGATGCGTCCACGATCACGTTTTATTGGATGGATCGGCTACATGTACACAGCTCGGTGCGGGGTGTGTCAGATAACATAATATTTATACTTTATAGGGAGAGAAACCTTTGTTATTTTGATGGGAAAATATGTCAAATTAAATACATACATCTGGCAAATAATGACAAATAGTAAATGAGAAACGTACTAATATTAAAATTCCTTTTATGTTTTTTTTTTTTTTAAACTTGTAACAGCTGAGACGTGTAAGGCGTCCCAGCACTGACCTGCACAGGGTGGATCCTGGTCTTGGTGCTGCCGATGCCCTCCACCGTGGTGACGGCGGCTCCGTGAAGCTGGCAGAGCGGCAGGAGGCAGGCGTTGGCTGAGTAATGTCTGACGGTGTGGTGAAGGTAAGCTCATGGATCCGACCACATTTCATATTACACGAGCAGCACTGGAACTACAGCTGCTAAAACCTCTTACTGTTACTAGTGATGCTACGAGGGATGTGGTGTTGGGCTGGTGCCAGGAAAGGAAATTACCATCAGCCACCACAGAGATCCTTTTGATTCTTAGCTGTGGATGTCTAAACCACTTTGGCTGATAACCAAGGTCACATTCAGACTCTCTCTTGTTCTCTAAAAAAATCTAATTTAGTTCATAAAATAGCAACAGTGTTTGGTATTCTGGAAAGTAACCAACCATGTTCATGGCTGAACAAATGGATTTTCCGGTGGATGTTGCACCCAGTTGTAACAAATACCCACACTGGTGCCAATCTGCTGCCTGACTGCTGCGTCTCAGTGAGGAAGGAAAAGAAAAGACTAGATAGACACATAGATATGGCCCAGTTTGACTGCAGCTTTAATCTGAATCACTAGTATTATAAACTCCGATCGAAATGAAGATTTTATTGCCAGTCAGGGTGCAAAGTTACCACCTGTAAGTGCCAAATGTGGGGAAATTTTGGTTTTGGCTGGTGGCTGTTGCTATAATTTGGAAGCACAGCGCAGGGCGAGGTTTACATCCCCCATCCACGTCTGTCTGTGTTTTTTGCCATAAGAAACATCCATGTTACATGTTTTCAGAGATGTGCAGACACATTCCCGGTGTTGAGCCACCAAAAAGGAAACAGAAGACAAAGAGAAAAGTGACGAGAGGTGGAGGACCCAAGAGTGTAGCTAAAGTAAATAAAAATAAACACTTTATTTGTTACGAGGTGTTTTGTGGAGCGGCAGGGTCGTGTGGTTTCTCTTAAAGGATACATGATGGTTTTGGTGGCGGGTTGGTAGCGCGACACCATGACCGTGCACGCCCCACAGCCTCCGCCGCCACAGCCAGACTTGGTTCCAGTTAACCTCACTGAAGTCACAGTCAAGGACATAAGCAGTTTTGGGCGTTGAAGCCTGTAGGTGGCGCTCACATCGACATTCAATCAGTTTAAAATGATAAAAACATATTTGTGAAGGCGAATTTGAAGTTGATCTGAAGGATACGCTTCTCTCTGAGGAAGGACAACAGCGTGGTTTCAGGGTCTGCATGGTCCTCTCGTACCTGTTTTCACACAAAGAGACAAACATATTCATGACTTTACCCAACTTCTGTCGCGCTAGTACTCTCGTGCGTTAAATAATTTTAATTATTTCCAGGCTTGCTCAGTTGTGGAAAGTAATAAAGTACAAAACAAATCCCCACATGATTTGATTAGGAGAGATATTTTGTTTACCATCATATGCGGCCTGGAAACATCCTCACATTGAGAATCGTTTTATTTCAGTTCCCATGTCTTTTTATTCATCACATTATTCTGAGCAATCTTCTACCAAAAATACTAATATTATTATAATTTAATTTCACGTTTTTATGAACTCACTTAAATATGTCTATCGAGGTTTGCGTGATTTTCAGTGCTATCTCTGTACTACCATTTAAACTTGTGTATAACTGCTTCATTTCTTTCTCTGGAAACATATTATGTGTCATAACAAATTAAAAATGGTATAAATTTGGTCACATACTGTATTTTATCAGCTGGTGGACAGTGTTTGGTTCTAAAGCTCTTATTTGATTAAGACCACCACTGGTGATATTCCTATAAATATATTATATATATCATATATTAAAACTATAAATCAGTAGAGGGAGACTCCACATTCACATGCCACAGCTTTGTGGGATTTTGAGTAAATTACACAGTGATTATAAAGTGATAATCTTGTGACAGGCCCATTGGCAAAACGCTGCACAATTATACAACCTGAATGCATGTAAAGATGTGTAAAAACGGTGCTATTATACAGTGAAAGAGTCAGTGTATGTGGTGTAGTGCTGAAGTCACAATCTTAATTTCCTGGTTAGGCAATAATGCACACACACATCTGGCCCAGTATCACCAGTAAATTCAACCCCCAGTTAAACTGTCTGACTGGTTGTCCTCACCCTTGACACCGTTTTAAGGGTTATATTTATTTAAGACGTTTTGTAAACACACATTTGCAGCTCCCCCCCCAAAAATAAAACACTTAGCAGCTGACAGCTAACCCTCGCTACAACACGACAACCCGTTTAAGACTTCATTAAAACGTTAAACGTACCTTTTTCCCGTTGATAAAGAAGCACAACATGTCGTTTTCTTTCCCTGCAGAGTTTGAAGTCCAAAAAGACTTTTCCCAACACGAAAGGTCAAGTCAGTTTGACTCCACAGGACTTCCACTTGCCTGGACTTTCAAAATAAAAGCTTGAAAAACGTTGCCAACAACAGACTGAACTTTCCAGCATAAGAGTCCAGAAGTATGCAGAAGTACATTCATTTACTTACTTACTTTCTTTTTTTAGTAAATAAATATGTTTTGTTTATCCCTCTAGTTGATTTTATTTGTTTTTTGATTTTGTATTGTCTTATTAATCTATTTTATCTAGCTTCAAGTATAGCTTTTATTCAGTGCTGTTTATTATCATACCTGTTAAATCAGTTTAATTGCATTTTTATTGACATTTTTATCTTTGTGTTGTATTTAAACATTTATTTTTAATTCTTTCTATTATGGCCCATGCTCATTTTGTCTTATCGACCTATGGAGCACTTTGAACTGCACTAACCTGCATGAAAGGTGCTACAGAGATGAAGTCTGACTGAGCGATTAGTGATATTCATGTATTGATTGACGATTGTAAATAAGTTGTAAATTGCTAAATTACATATTTTTGGGGTTTGAATACACAGTTAACACGTGTATAACATCATCACTGTCAGATATACATCTAAGCACACTGTTTACTACACTTTACATGCACATATACTGTTTGTAATCACCTACCTTATGTATATAAAGAAGCCTTCTATATTAATCTTTCTGGGGAGATTTGTACAGATTTTGTATTTACTGTTAAAAGTAAAAACATGATGCTTTTATTTAAAATGCAACATCAGCTGATTTCCTGTCCCACACTGCTGCCTCTATCGGACTTGATAAAGCTCATTTGCTTGTGCAGAACTAAAGACCACCCATCTTTCACCTTAAGTGACTTGTGAAACTTAAACATAATCTTCATTTTAAAGGAGGTTTCAGGGACTAAGAGGGCTGAATCATAACTGAAGGATGTCAGTATTGTTCAGGGCCAAAAGTGGAAGTAACTAATTCAATTGGCTGCAATTCTACTTGACTTTTGTGTGTTAAAATGAAATAAATAATAAAAAATAACAATGCAGACTGTTATATAACAAGACACATTTTATAATAAATAACCAGAACTCTGTGTCAGCTCTACTGAGTTCAGTCTGTTTTATTGACAAAACAGCCACATAATCGAACACAATATTTGAATATTTATTAGTTATATTGGTGAATCTCCACGTATAAGACAGATAAACACACATCATGCACACAGTATCAGCCAACAAGTATTGCATTTATGTAAGAATATAAAATTAGATTGGGATTATTGCTTCAAAATATAGAAATTATTATTTTAAAGCCATTTATGCTTTTAAAAAGAAAAGTGTTAAAGCATTCAGCCACGAATCAACAGGACTCAACTACCTTGAAATATGTATTTATGTTTTTTGTTTACAGTTGATAATGATCAAATCACCCTGAAAATAAAAGACTTATTTCTTCACATTAATCATAACTAGTAGACCTGTTCTGTCCATGTACAGTCAATGTGATGCATTTGTTATAAGGCCAGTTTTTTTTATAACAAATGCATTATAAAAACAACAGAGCTGTCAGACAGAGACTGCAGGATATGAGTCGTACCACAAGAGGGAGCCAAAGGAAAGGACTGCACCAGAAAAACCAAACACTTTTTTAATCATAACTAATTATATTTGATGTTTTTTGCATGAATAATCTAAATCTGCAACTGGAAGTAGAAACAACTCAAGTAGTACTTTTACTTGTAATGGAGTATTTTTATGTTGTGGTA